AATATGCGGCGCATAAATTGTTGTGCTATAAACAAGCCGAACAGGCGTCAAACAATTTATAGGCATTGATTTTCCAACGCCCTCGAACGTGATAGATTTCCCCCCACCTACCATGAAAGTGAAACTTTTCTGGTCAAGCAAGTTGGCAGGTCAGCCACAGCACGTTAATATGCTATATTAGCCATATTGGCCCCGCTGCTTACTGTGCCTGTTGTCACGATCCGACTGACACTTATTAGATAAGTTTTTTGGCTGCTCTGTGGTCGGAGGCGAGTCTGCTGGAGCTCATCATTTAACCATTCGATTTTAATTACTTAGCTTAGCTGAGAATAAATATATATTCAAGCACCAAGGGTCTGCACTGTAAAAGCTGAGGATTAGGCGCCGCCATTAGAGATTTCGTTGTCTTAGTTCAGCATTTAAATTGATCAAAAATATAGCATAGCAATTCGGGCCGAGCCCACACAATTTCATTCAATCTGTAAGTAATTTCTTTACCGTTTTTTATTTTTTTTATCACTGGGCTGCTGGCTGCTGACTGTTTCCTGGTAGCCGATGAGCTGAGACCACCCACGTGATTTGAATATTTTTCCAATAAACTTCAACAGCTTTTCAACTTTCCGGCTGAGGGCAGGGCAAGCCCTGTGCCCGGCTAGGCCGTCTGTCTTTATCTATTGGATTTAAATTTCCAGGCTCACTTTCATGTCCATCTGAGTGTTTTTCCTGCTTGGCTACGCATCAATTTGCCTCAGCTCCGCTCTGCTTCGGTTTGCATTGCTTTGCTTTGCTTTGCTCGCTAACTTAAGCTTAATCGAATTTTGCCGCAAATTGGCAATAAATTTTAATTCTGAATAGATAAAGATACCCCGGCGTTGATTGAAGTTAATCAAAGCCAAACCACGTTCAGCTCTTCAATTCTAAACTGCTCTCAATTTGCATGCACCCACAATGCAATTCATGTCTGCCATTGTTGTTCTTGTAGTTATTCTTGTTGGGGTCCAATGCACTTTGACCAAAACCCATTCAACTTGTTATCAAAAGCATAGCGTTGCAAGCAAAAACTAAGTACACAAAAAAGAAAAACAAAAGCAACTCAATGGTAAACAAGTTGCAAAGAGCGAATGGCAAAAAACAAAGCCGCTCACCTTAGCTGATGAATAAATTTTTTTTGGGTTAGTCACCCGCACCACGGCGCGGTCCTTGGTGCAACTGTTTTTGCAACCACTTCATCAAAGTCATTTAGCGTTGCGGCACCGCTTTTTATACCCTGTGCCCGACAACTTACTGAGCGAATGTGAATGGTTTCCGCCCCAGCAGAACTGATATTTGCAAGTGAATTTAATATTTGAAGTAAGTTGTACAGAATCAATGAACCTAACAAGCACGGCAGATGATTCAACGTAGTTGGCTGCAGGTAATCGGCGAGTTCATCACTAGAGTTGCGTTCGCTAGAGTCTTAATCAGCTAAAAATGGCATGGCAACCTGAAAACAACAAAAACAGCAACTGCAGTTGTAGGACTAACGACAAGACATACAAAAAGATTGTTGTTGCCATTGCTGTTAGAAAAGCCAGCGGCTGTCCGGATAACGAGCAGGACGATTACGCCCACCCTTTAGCTCGGCCATCACTCGATGTCATCCTCGTCAACATCAACATCAACGCAATAGCCATAGCCATAGCCATAGCCATTGCCATTGCTATGGTCGTCTGTCTGTCGCCTTAGATTCAAGAGTGGCGCATAGCAACGCCCAGTGGAATACCACTTGCCGTGAAAATGACAGTATATTTGAGAGCACAGGCCCCGGAACAAGCTGGGCGAGTCGGGCGAGACAAGCTAGCTAAGCAAGCCAGCTGAAGTTGCAACGTTTTGACACTAATTTAATTTGCTTGAAGCATTTTTTGTGGCAGCACCAAAGTGCGACAGCAATTCAAGCAAGAATATCAACCAGATGAAAAACAAAACAAAACCAGTTGAAGCGGCAAGCCGAAAATAATATACCCTTGCCTAATCGGTTTGGCTTGGTTCAGTTAACTTGATAAGCCAAAGTGAAGACATTTGTGGACTATATGTGAGATATTGGCAGTTGTGTTAGCTCATTATTATTATAGCTCATCTTTCGACCGCTTGTTCATTGGCAGCTATATGAAATATTTACTGACTGCAGAGAGTATGGAAAATAATTAATATAATATTAGCAGCAATATGAATTATATACTGACTGCAGCAACACGGCATCAATGCTGATCAAGAATAGATATATTTCATTGTGTCAAAGACGTTCCCTTCGGCGCACTACATCCCTAATGACAAAACTAAAATACCCTGTACAAGCGCACGGCAAAGCAGAAAACAGGACAAAAATGGTTGTTACGCATCCGTTTCCGTTGGACAACGCACAATAGTGCCTGCAATAAGTTATAATTGAGTTGCACTACATTTAATTTCAATTTGGTGGCGCTGTTTACGAAAACGGCTGCCAAACAGCTGGCGAACAAGCTCCTGAAAAGTTGCTCAAGTGCGAGAACTTGTTTGCTTTGCGCGCAGTAATTTTGTTTGCATATCCAGCTAACTGCGAATTGTAAACGGTTCTAAGAAAAAGCAAATAGACAAATATACATCTACATGCGCAAATAAAGATCCAGATACAAATTGATGCAAGCTACTTGTTTTGCCTCGTTTAACGGAGTTCTCAAGTGCATCAGTCCCGGTAAAAGCACTGTGTTCAGTTTATACTTTGTGGCAACACAGCAACGCAGCAATGCAAAGTGCTCTTCGACGTGTTTCGCAGCTTAACAAAAAATTTAATCCTCAAAAGATTGCAATTTCGTTGGCATGCAAATCCTTTACAAAAAATTCCAATTCTGCATTTACAAATTTATTCATGCCAAAAATTTAGTACAGTATTTTTAGCTGTACTTAATAATAATTTTAGTTTGTCACAAGTGTTCATTAGATTAGGCTAATAAAATATTTCAGCTATCTTTTAAAGAAAATAGTTGGCAGAATTTTCACAACACCAATAAATTTTTGTTTGTCATTGACGAACAATGTATTTTTCCTCGGTTGTTATTTCATAGTCAAATGTATCTATTAGATTGCAGGTGAACAATTTCATGACAGTATTTTATTATGTCTTTTGGCTGGCGTTCTTTAACTGTTTCAGGTATTTATTTAATTTTTATTTTTGCATTACAATCAAGATGACTGCTCTGATTTGTTTTAAATACATATGTGTTCAATATTCGAGAGCATTGGCTTTTGCCAAATACGAGACTCATGACTTATTATTGCCAATGTGTGGTTTAAGTCCAATACGCAAAATCTAAATCATTCTCGGGATTTGGGGATTGAGTGTTCCGTTTGTGGCAATCAGAATATCATTCTACAGTTACCTTCGTGCTTGGCGCAACAACGAAAATAACATGACATGAGGCAGTTGCCCGAAATTTTCCCCGCCCCTGCTTAGCTGTGCTGTTATGCGTTTCCTATATATATATATATATATATATATATATATATATATATATATATATATATACGTATGTATATATATGGTGTCTATATACGTTGTCATCAATTCGCAATGGAAATGAGTGTGTGGCACGCTTTAATGCGAAATTCTGATTGCGCTCGAATGGCTTCATTTATTTTCAACGAAAAAAAAAGAAGAAACACCAACAAAAAGCGAAAGAAACACGCGAAAAAAGCGCAAAAAAGTAAAAGAAAACAAACTCGACAGTTGTACATAATATTTCACTTATGCATGTGCGCCCCCGGTGTGCATGTGCGTGTGTGTGCGTGCGTGTGTGTGCGAGTGTGCGAGTGTGTGCGTGTGTGCAAAGTGAAATGAATGAATGAATGGCATGCGTAACGTTTGAAAATTTGTTATAGCAATTTGAACTGTCAACGCGAAACCGAAAAAGTAAATTAAGAAACATTTGAAATTTAATTCACTTGCCAAACGCTCCAACTGACTTCTGCCACAGTGTGTGTGTGTGTGTGTGTGTGTGTGTGTGCGTGCGAGTGTGTGATATAGTCACAAATGTAACTACGAGACTGTCTGGCAGGTGTCAGCTGCTGACTGCCATGACACAGAGCCCTTGAGCATAGCAGAAACAGCAGCAGTCGCAGTAGTAACAACAACAACAGACATGCAAAATTAGGCGAGTGTCACGAATTTAAAATAACTTTTAATTCATTCTTGATGAGGATGCGGCTGATGCTGCTGCTGTGAGTCTTGTGCACCACATGGCGTATGAGTGCGGCTGGCAAATGTGCCCTGCTGCTGGTGCTCGTGCCACGCCTCTTAAGTGGCACATAACTCGAGCTTAGCATAAACAACTGCACAAGCATAAATGTTTGTTAAACTCAGCTCTGCTTTGTCGCTCCTTCCTGCTCCTTGTCGGGGCGACACAGCAAGCCCAAGGTGCAGAGCAGAATACGGCACTGGGACTATGCCATACAATTATTTAGGTTTCAGTCGGATGGAATTTGTGTGCAGGCACTTTGGGATGTAAATAGCTGGTAGGTAGTTAAGCGTGGCCAGAGCCGACTTCGATGGACATAAATCAAGATGTTTAGGCTGGGTAAGCAGCGCGCGCTGCCTGCCACTGGCTGCATCAACTGATTGCTGCTGCACATGGGTGGTGGATGTGGACTGGTGTGCGTTACTCATTGCGCTACAACATACTATCAGCTGTCTCCCTCTTTGTCTGCATCTATTTGTGATAGCAGATGAAAGCAAAGGTGTGGCAAATGCAAATGAACATTTTGCTTAAGTTATGCGTCAGAGCGCGTCGTCCGTCTAATGGAAAAGGGGTCACTCAGAGTGGCTCAAGCGGGTTGTGGTGTGATGTGGTGAAAACTTGGCTGAAAAGCAATATCAATCGTGGCAATGGCAACCAACCAAAGAGCTCATCGAACCGAACCAGCAACGTAAGTTGGAAGCAGCACCAACAACAACAACAACTACTACAACTTTGCCACCCAATACCAACCTGTTTCCAAACTGTTTCAATAAGTTGGCGCTGTTGATGCTCAAGCTGCTCTTGCTCCTGCTGCCGGCGCTGCTCCTGCTCCTGCTGCTACTGTTGTTGTTATTGTTATTGTTTTTTGCTGCTGCTTATGATTTCTAATCCATGCACGTTTCGCTTTTAATATTTATTTTTCGCTTTTTCACACTTTTACACAAACACAGGCACACGCACACACACAGGCAGTCACAGGCACGGTACAGACTCGAGTCCTGAAGCTGAGAGAGACTTCAAAGGTCGAGAGTTGTCTGAGTCTATTGGCAGTTGTGGTCTCGCTGCTTTGCTGTTTTGCTGTGCTTTGCTTTGCTTTAGGGGCTTTGAATATCGACGATTATTGCGATTGGATTTTTATCATTCAAGCCGCGCATCCTGCACAGTTCATCAATGCAAATTGATACACGAACTTGAGCGGGAGTTTAACGGCTAACAGTATTTATATAAAGTATTTGTGGATGCCGACAAATGGAAGAAATAGTTGCAGATTGTGGCAGAGATGCTCAGTTGGCGTAGCTAGCGGATCATCTCAGCAAATATTTCTCAAATCTGTTTGCTTAGTGGAATGTTTCTTAATTTTTGCATAATTTCAATTGTTGTTGTTTACTTTTGAAAATTGCCTGTGTTCCCTGAGGAACGAACGAGATACGGACGTGATGAGATGCCGACACAATAGTCAACCGAACCGCACGAGGAACATTTTCAAACTGATTGATGCAATCGAACGAACGAGCCCACAAACGAAGCGTTGCCGAAAGCGTCATAAACGAACCATCATCTTACGGGGCCGAACACATCGCGCGAAACGAAACGAAACGAGTTGGAAACAAAACGAAACGATTGCCGAGTGGAATGTGTGGATGCTGTGTGCGGTGTGTGTGCCAATGCCAAACGTCCCAACATGCTGCTGATAAGCGGCTAGTTGTGGCTTTTGACTTGCAATTGGTTTTCGTCCTCTCAGCTTGACAACAATTTATATTTTGCACGTTGCGAGCATTTAAATGTTTTCGCTTATTGTCCTTCCCACTCCACCCGCGCTTGTATGTATATGTGAACGAGTGTGTGTGAGTGAGTTTTGGGTGGGTGACACTTTTTTTAATCACTTAAAAATGTATGCGACACTTTTTGCCGACACGTGCGTGTCACAATGTTAGCGCTACGCCAAAGGATTAACAGCAAGAAACGCAGAATACGCAAGAAACGCCACTCGGCAATTTGTTGCCGTCTTTATTATAGTGAAAAACAGCGAAGAGAATACATATATATATATATATATAAATATATATATATATATATATATATATATATATGCAGCTGAATATATATGCATGCATTGCTCAAGTTAATGGAAATAATTTTGGCCGCTCAGACGGGGTAGCGTCGGTCAGCCGTTACTTTTTACGAGCGCATAATAAGAAAGAGTGGAACGTGCAACCAGCCATGAACTGGACGTGATGCGTGTTGCCACGGCCAACGTTCAACGTTCAACGCTCGAGTCAGCCCGACCTGAAAACACGTTAGCTAAACACAACACACAAACACTTCTGAACTTGTGCGTAGTTCAAGTTTTGTAAATTAAAAGCTTGCCATAATCCTGGCTAAATTAAAAATACCGAACGACAGCACCCTCAATCGCAATTTAAGAGCAAAATAAAAGAGAGCGCGACCCAAAGCACCAAATGAGAGAAAAAGACAGAGAGAAAGAGAGAGAGAGAGAGAGAAAGGAATCATCGGCATTAAGAGAGCAATTTAGTGAAGCAGCCTGTTCGCGTTTTAGGTTACTAGGACACTTTCTGGTGGGGTGCCGCCCGACGACTCCTTCGACTACGGTCTACGGTCTACGGTCCATATGCGTCACTATGCAGTCGTCGGAGCTGCTTAAGCCAGCAATTAAAATCGAGTTTTGTTTATTTACTAGCAGCAAGCCCAGTCAGTGCACAGGCATTGCCATGACACACGTGTGCATTTCGCACCTGTCACACTGCCGGCTTCTGCTTCTGCTGTTTTTGCTTCTGCTTCAATATGCACTCATGCGGCTGTGGCTGAAGATGTTAAGCTGAGCTGAGTTAAGCATACATCCCAAACTCCAGTGGAAGTGTTTGCCATTTGACACTCTCTTGAACTTGAGGCAGACTTTGGAGGCGACGCCAACGGCAACGGCGACATCGACTGAGATAGCGAGTGTGACTATGACAACGACAACTAGGAAAACAAGGACACAAGAGCCAGAGTTCGCTAAGTATTTTTCAATTAAAACGTCGGGCGAAACTTGCACGCATGATAAGCACAAAAGTTGCTCATTGTCAGCGCCTAGCAGCATGCTTCACAATGCCAGCCAGAACTTTGGCCTGGTAAATTGCAAAGCAGACAACGACACAACTTACACTCACACACACACAAGCACACAGCCTCAAGGAGCGCCAATCAATCTCATGACAAAGAAATGGAGATTGTGGCGATTTTTATTCATCTCTCTTTTTTTTTGTATATCATATGCGACATATTCAAATGAGTCGAAGTCACTTCCGGCCGTTTAGGCAGTTGAAAAATTAACTTGTCTGATGACAGCTGCCGCCATTGCTTAAATAAGCCAACTTATAACTAGTTAAAGGCGCTTAAGTGCTGCGCCTGCTGACGAATGGAAACTGAGCCCAGTCAGCGGAATGGATATGTTCAATGTTAGTAAGAGGGGATGGGGTGGTATGTTTGGTGAAAGCAATTTTACTGCCACAAGCTGGACAAGAGGTGGGGATGCCTGTTGCTGCCTGTCGCACCGACATGAGCTGCAAAGTGAAGCACGTGTTGGCATAGCAATTTGCCAGGACAACAACAAACAGGGCCAAGAGCCGAACACTTTTATGTGCCGTAATGAAAAACTGTTATCTCTGTGCGCAATTTGAACGCAATTTGGTAACGCGTTGCGCCACATAAAACTTAAGTGACCCGAAACACACACACACACACACAAACACACACATACTTTGGCAGGGGTGAGTTGGTTGCTTGGATGTCTCCTCAAATGCGATTTGGGCATGTTGGGTGCGTGCAGCCAGCAAAACTGTTGACATTCGCAGAAAAGCCAACACTCAAAAGCCAACACCAAACAGACAAAAGACAAAAGACAATGACAATGACAATGACAATGACGTTTGCGGCTCTGTGAGTGCGAGTGCGAGTGCGAGTATAAGTGTGACAAATGAAATTGTTTTGTGATTATGCCGCATTAAAGCCAAATGTGCCATGTATAAAGTGCAAACATCCGTTACCAGTCACCGTCACCGTCACAGTCACCGTCACTAACACCAACACAGAGAAACACCAACGCCATCACCATCAACATTTCACAGTCGACGCACTTTAATTTTATTGACATGCCCGGCGTACACGCCTTGTCACGCCCCTCAGGCCGGCCATGGGTCGAATTGCTTGCAACAGATTTGCTGCAGTTGCGTTGGCAACAACAAACTAACATTTGGCGTGCCTCTGGCTGCTGTTACAGCCACAAACAAGCGCCTTGCAACCAAAAAATTAAAATATTCAAAGTTTGCAGCGAGCAGTGTCAGACTAACAAATACTCTGTTCTGAGAAAAACAAATAACGAGCGAAATTATCATACTTACAGAGAAATTCATTCATTCATTCATAGATTAATGTACTCATTTTAATTTGGTTGAGCCTGGCTCTCGGAAGTCTTACAAACGTTTTTGCTTTGATCAGTCGAGCAATTGAGAAGTCACTGAAATTTGTGTACACTTTTAGAATATGAGCATAAGCTGAAAATCTATTAATTGTAATATTATTTGCACTTAAATGTATACAGTTAATATGAATAAATAAATAAAATACATATATATTTCCATGGTTGTGAACCTGATATTTTCCAACTTGAAAGTGCAATAAATCAAAGAAAAGTTTTGTATCCACTTATTTGTTCAGGCCAATCAATATCATTTTGTTGGTTCCAAAATAAAATCAAAAATTAAATTGCTAACGTGACCAAATACAAGTGTTGCCAATAGAGTGCTACAGAACGCAAATCGAGAAATAAAAATACGAGAAAAACATTCTGTGGTTTTCTTTGTTTTAATGCATTTGAAGGAGAGCATTGGAATGCCATATAGATATATATGTATAGATATATTTGTATGACAAAATGTGTATGTGTTAATACAATTATAAAATATTGGTCTCACGAAACACTATTTGTTGCAAAATCCGGAGTCACTTATTAAATACAGAGAATTCAAATGGCAAATATACTCCTCTTCCTTCTGGCAACAATGTAAAAAAGTGCGCTTAAGCTGATTTTTTTTATGGTACAAGGTTTGCCTCTACCTCTTGTTTACTAGTAAAATTTATTAAATATTTTTTTACCTGCTGCAGTGTGGCCAAAATTGCTGGCATACTTAATCCATAAGAAGCTCTTGGCTCACATTTTTAGTACACCAAATGGGAGTGAGCGAGATGGAGCGAGACTAAAATAGAAAGAGAGAATGCATACGAGCGAGCTTTAGCCTTTTTCTGAATTTCGTATATATATATATGTTTTTTAATATGCATTTTGCATAATTTTCATATGAGCATCACTCATACCCCATGTGCAACGTGCACAACGAAATAATAAGCAAAACAATTTTGCAAGCTTAACACAAATGAACACTTGTGGCTGCCCCACATCCTCAGGCAAATGTGAGGTGCCTCTGCACACGAACCGCAAGACAGTTTTCCTCACTCACTGGATTTTTATTTTTTGATCAACCGAATTTAAATTTTCAAAACTGCAACCACAATTGCTTGAAACAATCCAGGAATTCTGAATAATGCCAAACAGCAGGACTATTAAAGTTCCTTTGGTTGCTGCTTTGTGCCACTAGCTATCAACATTTAATCAAAAATCATTTCAAATGCCTGATATTTATGCGTATTTCAAAAATAAAAATAAAATCTGCAATACCAAGAAATTACATTTATTGAAATTTTTCGATTACGTTTTATTTATTTAAGCAATATTCATTTTAGTAATAACAAAAGGGGCATTTTTGCTTTGTACACATTCAGCAACTATTTTTAAGTAATATACTAGGCTCGTATACAATTTGATAACTAATGAAAACAATAGCAACCAATTAATTTTTGTGTATTGACGTATAATTACCAATAAGAAAAAACTATAAATTATACTGTATATAAAATTGATTTCTATATGTAATACTAGCGCAAGTTTCCAATTTAAGTTAGGCGGATCTCTTTGAGTAAACTTTAATATATATATTGAGATAAGTTAATTTTCACATGTATTTTATAGGAATTTTTGTAAATAGATTCTGAATTGATGTGCAATCCGAAACAATAAAGTCATCAGAATGACTTTACACAATCGAATACTTGTCAAATGCTTCAGGGCTGACAATCAAATCTGGAATACTCCACATTTCACACATTCTAGCCAGCTTGCCTGCAGGCCATCCCAATTTTATGGTTATCTTTTAATTGTTTAGGCCAATTTTTCGTTTCATGTTGCTCTCTTTTCACCTGTCAAACTTTCGTTGGCAGCATGCTCTAGGCCAGCTCAACTGCCGTTGTTTGGTAATTAAACGCAAGCCAGGGAAAGGGAGGGCAATGAAAGGAAAAGGAAAACACAATGACAAAAACAATGCCAACATATTTTCAC